CGTTACTGATTCTAAAAAGTAACGCGTTACCGTTATTTGAAAAGTAATGATAAAAAAATCGTTACTTTCCGTTACTTTTGTAAAAAAAAAGTTAAATTCAGCATATAAAACGAATAGTAGAAGAAACAATACATAAATTATACATATATAAAGATAAAATATAAGATATTTAAGCGGGAAGCACACATTATTGCATAAAGCCCATTCTATATTAGTCGCAAATCGCAAGGTCGCAAAGAAATTGACTAATCATAGTCGATTGTTCTTCTTGCGATCGAAGAATAATCAATTATGATTAGTACAATTTCCTTGCGATCTTGCGATTGCGACTAATGTAGAATGGGCTTTAGGGGCGCCGCACACGAATTGACATAACAGTAACGTAAGACGTACAGTAAAAATGGACCAATTACAATCGAATATTCACAAAAATGGCGACCTTACGGTTCGACGATATTCAAAGTGATTGGTCAGTTCTTACGGTACGTCTTACGTTACTAGGTTTGTTCTTTCGACCTGAACTGGCTGCACTAGTTCACGAAGTTTGCACTAATGCGTTCTTTCGATCAGAACAGTGCAAGAAAATGTGTTCTTTCGAACAGTGCAGACTGAACTAGTGCAGCGAGTTCAGTGAACTGACTGCCCTAGGTCTGGAGGTAGAGCAAACAGTGCAGGGCAGCTAACCGAAAAAATTTAAATTTGTATCTATAACCTGTAAAATCGGTATACCTAGTTGACATTACGTAGAAGAAATAATCCGACGACGGAATCTATAAACAGTAAGTAAATACTTAAATATATAATAAATATATAATGTAGATAAATATATAATAAATATATAATGTAGAATGACATAAAAGAAGTATTTAGAATGTTATCCAAACAGCACAAAATATCCGAAAGACATCCTGGGAAGGTTCTTGGACGTTTTTTCGGAGGGATTTGTTGTATGGGTATCCAACACAAAACAGTTTTTAAAAGAAATAGGATTGTTCAACAAAACATAAAATGTTATAAGTGCGAAAACATGACCATAAATTGATCTATGTTATTTAATCCAGCCATGTTGTCCGCCATCTTACACTGCTCTAACTTGCTCTTACCCGTTCTTTTCAGACCCATATGTATCTTTGCACTGGTCTGCACTATCTTGAACTTTCTTCAACTTTCTAGTACAGTTCCAGTGCAGCCCTAGGTCAGGTCGAAAGAACAAACCTACTGTTATGTCAATTCGTGTGCGACGCTCCTTAAGTGTGATCTGCAATGAGAACTTAAGCCATAAAATTTAAGCTTTAAATCCTAAGCCGTAAGAAGTTGACCAATCACAGTCAATTATAAGAAAAATAATTTCTTACGGCTTAGAGATTAAAGCTTAAATTTTATGGCTTAAGTTCTCATTGTAGATCACGCTTTAGAGGCTTTCTACAATAAGCAATAAATTTTAAGTCGCAATAAAATTGACCAATTACAGTAGATTATTCTTCTAATAGTCGACTATGATTGGTCAATTTTATTATGACTTAAGATTTATTGCTTATTGTAGAATGGGCTTTACGGAAAGCAGTACATTAATTGTTTATCGTGTGCAAACTTTCATCGCGTGGCAAGCGTTGCCGCGTTCTATGCACAGAAGCCATCATAGTAAAATAGTAACGATATAAGTAACGATGAATTTCGTTATTCGTTACTAAAGAAAATGTAACGCCGTTACTTTTTCGTTACTGACACAAAAAAGTAACGACGTTACCAAATCGTTACCAAAAAAAAAGTAACGAAATAGTAACGTCGTTACAAGTAACGCGTTACTTCTCAACCCTGATAAATACAATTGTAAGTGCACTAAATAATCACAGCTGCTATCACTATAGCACTGAAACATTACGTTATATTCAATGGAAAATTCGAAATTCAACGTATATATATAAAAAATACTAGCTATGAAATTATTAGCTAAGAAATTAGTCATTTAAAAGTTTCTTTTAATTTCCAGGATATATAACAAACTTTTACTACGAATTTTGCAACATTTGAATTTTCTTTCTTAGGTGTATATGGCGTAGGATATAGACTTGTAATCGTGGGGAGATCTGGCGACTCGAGTCAGAAGTGTTTTGTGCAGACTCACCTGTTACGAATTACACTCTCCTGGACGAAAGTTTTAGACAGGATGGCATTCTGAGAATGGCAAAGCATCCAGACATTTCTGTGTTTTATTTCAGACCTATGTTTTTTCACAATATATACAGTGCAAGGATTAGAGACCTAAAAAATTCGCGATATGGCTTCAAAATGAGCTACCGCACGATACGAGATGTTATTCCCAGCTAGGCAGCAGCTATGACTAAATCATCGGATGGTATCTTGTTCTTTAGTTTGCTTACCGAACTATCCCTGACATGTTGGAACATCTGCGAAACATCTGTTTGTCAAAGGCAACTTGGTCAGTTTTTTATTTATATAAATAGTCTATATAAAGATCTACATACACATGTAGCATTTATGTCAATCTACATTTAAATTACTTTTCAAGCTTTTCTCCTAAATATTTCTGGCGAAAAATACCGAAGTGTACGAAAAAGTAAAACGACCTATTTTGGTTCGTAGAGTATCATCGCCTGCGATCATTCCAATTTATCAGTGGCGTTAAAATAATACCAAAGTACATAACAAACGCGAATGAAAAAATCTGAGTGGTGACTGATCGTATCAAAGCAAATAAAGAATAAGGCAAATAAAAGCCGACTACCGATCTTAAAGGCGAAAATCACAATTTAATAAAAGCTTGTGATACATTTATTTAAATATTACAAAAATTCAGACGTCTGAAAAAAATAAAATAATTATAAACGTTGCATTATTTATTAATAAATAAATGAATCGTAAAATTTAAATTATGCGTATGTATGTTTAACGTATACGTTTAAGGCATGAGTGCGTTTTAGGAGAAAGTTACTTAGGAAAAAACTAATACAACGCGGAACTTGTGTTACAGGTAAATATTGGGTTTATTGCTTATGGCGCGTCTACATGAAAGAAGAAACATTCAGAAAACACGCTAACATTATAACGTGATTAACAAGCGGAATATTAAATTAGATTAGATTTACAAAAAAAGATACACGATTCTACTAAAAATTCTTTATATAGTTAACGTAACGTATTTTACTTAAAAAATATCCACAAACTCATTATAATATTCGAAGCAATAAATTTTACATAAACTGAACGTTCTATAATAAAAAAATTTTTTTCAGAAGAATGTATGGTATGCATGTTGATATTTTAGGTATCAACAACAAGTTGATATTTCTTTAAAAATGTACACTGCTAATATTTTAGAAACTTTAATCTAATAATAAGTGCAACGTACATAAATAAAATATATTCCAAATTTTAATTTTATAATTAATTACTGTATTTCTGTGTAAGTTCTGTATTTAATTTTCTGAGAGAAAAGAGAAAGTATATTCCTAGGATATACGCATCTGCATATAACAAATGTTATTCAACCGGAATAAGAAATTATAAAAAGAATTCTTGCCAAAGCTAATAAAAAATCATGTACAATAAAAACGCGATAACATCACCACAATCTACCAGTTTGTAGTTACATAATTAACAAGGCGTTATAAAGTATGTATTATGCATCAATGTGCGTGTATCATACGAGTAATCTATTTCTAGTATTCGACACGACGTTTATAATTAGCTGGAACATGAAATCGGAAAGAAATAACGAATCACGGCGCATGCGGGAGACTTAAATGGAGAGGGTGTAGTAAAGGGCGCAAATATCGCAAAACTTTAGCAGACACAGTGCTCGTTGCAAGAGTGTCGAATCAACATCGCGTTTCTCTGGCCAAGTGTCCCACATTGCTTTGGTGCTCTCGTGCGTCGCGAGTAACGATAGTTCGGTGTGTCTATGTGAAAAATAAAATGCGAAAATGCGACGATAATTTGCATATTCGATTATTTGTCATTTGTTGTTAATTTATTGTAACAGCGAGCATAATAAAACTAAGGATGACTAGCTAAAAGCAATTGTTGACACGTATCGTAGAGCAAGTTAGTGCGTTAATTTTGAACTAAGAGCTCGCGCATCATTTATGGTGAATTCAAGAAGATGCCAATCGTGGCCTTGATATTCGTGTATCAATGCTATTGCTTGTGACGTGCCCGACACTGGTCGCAGGAGGAAGTAGTGTAAGTGCGAAAGCGGAAAGTATTCTTAATCTCCGATGGAAAGTGGCATTTATGTTAAGTCGAAAGAACGTCTCGCTTCGCTTGCCGAACGAGTTATCGGAACGGAAGTGCTGTGCCATTTCAGGTAGCGTGAATTCGCTTGCTATTGCATTCCGGTGAAAGAAAAGACGCTTGCGTACGCGCTCGACTGTGTGACAGCTGTGAGTTGGAATTGTGTTATCACCCAAATATATTGTGTTATCGAGAGAGAGAGAGAGAGAGAGAGAGAGAGAGAGAGAGAGAGAGAGAGAAAGGGGAGAACAGAGAGATGCGTGAAACTAACATTTGTAATTGAATCTGTCATCAAACTCCTATGTTACTATTGAAATCACTTAGTTCTCCTTATCTTAGACGTTTTATAATTAACGACAAAATTCAAGATAATATATTCAAGAACATTTAGTATATATTATGCAAATGTATGTGTGTGTATACATGTGTATGCATGCATCCGCATGAAAAATTTCTTGAGATCTTATTAAGATCTAGCTAGATTTCCCAAAATAATTATAGATTCTAATTAGAAATTGCAATGTTTGAAACATGCGATTTTAAGTGAAAGTCAAAGTTCTGCCAATACTTGTGCTGGTCTTCATTTCACGTTAAAATTGGATAAAACACATGTTGATTTTCCAAATAATTTCATTATTCAGTAAAATGCTCAAAGTATTTTGAAAATATTTCAATTCTTTACATTTTATTCTCTTGAATATACAATAATTGGTATAAAAATGGGATTCTCTTTGAATTTGACGTTAAAAGTATACCGATATTACCAACTGAAAAAAGCATAAACTACATATTTCTATTCCAACTCTAAACAGAAAACCCATATTTAGAATAAAAATAAGATTCCTTATTAGTATTGTAGGGGGATAAACAGTTTTAGAATAAATTTAGGTATTCTAGTCAGAATCTATGCTACATCTGGGAAAATCTTGAGAAATTTCTACGCGGGCAGTGGGTTGCAAAATTTAGGTATAATAAAGGTTTAGGTATAATAAAGTTGGGAACTCGCCAAATTCAAAAGTAAGACTCATTATTGACTAGCTTGGCAATTACATTATTATTAATTATTATTATTATTAATTATTGTTTGTTATTCTTAATTATATTATTAATCAAGTTATTATTGCGTCCGAGATAGTGATTTTCAATTTTGAAAGTTTTGTAAAGTCCCAAAATTATTATCCTAAACCGTTTGGCAACTAATTGTATAACTAAAAATGCATTTTCCAAATATTTTTTTACAAGAGAGTGTGACTTTATTCCGAATCATCAAATTATACATTATCTAACCAATCGAACTTTGTCATAATAAAATTTTTCTTTGGCTGTGGTTAAAATAAAGTCATAGTATGCTTTCTAAGCATTATAATTACAAATTTATACATGCTGCGAAGAATAATCATTTCTTGTTAAAATTAAATTGTATAACATGAAACATTTATGTTATCCGCTAATAAAAGAGATAATAAAGAGATCTAAAATAAATATATAAAAGTACAAAATTATTTTGATTGATGAATATTTGAGAGCAATTTCAGTAATGGAAAATAATGTGTATTTTGATTTGTTGTTTTAATTTTTATTAAATTCGATCAAAATATAATATTTTAATAGTTGCTTAATCTTCGTGGTACAATAAAGTGAAAAACTCCATAAAGCAGCTCTCAAGTACTTAATCATTGCAATTTATGATGTAATGTATAGCTACCTTCTGCAAGTACTTTGCTTTTTTTCTCTTTTATTACGCCACACATAGGAGTAAATTATAGTTTAGTCGATGGAGTACGTTTTTGTTCAATAACATTCCACGTGTGCGTAGGCACGAAATTATCGTGGCATTGATGCAATTACCGCGAGATTTCACCGAACGAAAAAAGCATACGCTGATACTTCGTCGCTCCCGCAGATTGGAGTTTATGGAAATTGAAAGTTTACGTTACATTGGTATGTTTTAATGGTATTTCTAACAAAACAGATTAAATACATTAATATAAAGTCAAAATATTCTTAATTAAATATATTTTTATATGTATAAGAAACAAGTAAATATTGAGCTTCCTGATTTCCATTATAGTTCCCGGGCCGTTGGGCCGTTATAATTTATACAAAAACCATACCGAATTAACACAATATCAGAGAAAATATATCTCGCACATATTTACAAGCGTCTTAAACTGAACTAAGAAATAAAGTGTAATAAACATAATGATGTTTACGGGTCACTGTTTTTTTGTTTACGCAATGTTACGAAGACGGCATTTATAATCCGTCTGTGATCTTAGTGTAATTATCCAGTAAATAAATATTACTAAATTATATCAAAGGCTCTGTTTAAAGTACATATAAATTAAAAGTAATATAAAGTTATTGAGGACTATACGCTGGGTGTTGGTATGTGAATAATTAGTTTATATAGAATGCGGATAATTAGTTTTTATAGAAATATAATATTGTTTAGATAATATTGTTAGATAATATTGTTTTGTAATGTCAAACACATGCGTTGAACATTTTTCAGTCTTTAATATAGTCAGCAAATAAAATCTTCCACGTCAAACTCGATCTTGAATCCTAATTATTATCTTTTAATAAAGTTTATTTAAAAACCCACATTACGCAATTACTTTGATTTCTGAAATAAAGTACTTTCCGTCCAATATAAACATATAAATATTTTGGTTGGAGAAATAAAACGTTGAAGCCTCAGTGACCGAATCGATAAGGCGTTCCACCGGTAAGTGGGAGATCCCCAGGTTCGAATCTTGACTGAGGCAGTATTTTTGTAATTTTTTAACAATCAAAATAAATGCGCTATAGGGATTTTAAAATAAAAAGAAAATTAATTAAAATGTTGTTATTATTATAAATGTAATAATATAACATATATAATAATTATAAATATAGGGTGTATCAGATCACCTGTGCCACCTCTTTTATTCGGCAACCGAATATCATACGGAGATGAACAAAAAATTTTTATAAGAAACCTTACCCATAGAATCAATTGGTGCTACTACGATTTTCCGGATAGGTCTCCTTAAAATAAATAACTTTCATTAAAAACATTTTTTTTATTTCAACTGTTAACCGAGAAAAATGTTTAAAAACAAAAATTTCAAATACGTTAACACGTGTTGCAATCCTTTTATTAACCCTTGTTTTGAAATCAAATCGAATCATCAAATTGAGATCAATTCGAATTATCTTTCATTTGTCGGGGCAAATAAAAGAAATTGTTTATAAACAACACCCAATTACAAAAAAAAAATATGAAGGAACGTATTCAAGCAACTTGTCGATCTCTGTTTGCTAAAAAGATACTACGAGCATTAAACAACATCCGCAATCGAGTACAAGCTTGTTTAAATGTTAATGGAAGACAATTGCTTGAATACGTTCCTACATATATATTTTTTTTATAGTTGGACGCTGTTTATAAACAATTTCTTTTATTCGTCCCCACAAGTGAAAGACAATTCGAACATTTGATCTGAAAAACAAGGGTTAATAAAAGGTTTGAAACACGTATTAACGTATTTGAAATTTTTGTTTTATTAATTTTTCTCGGTTAATAGTTGAAATAAGAGAAATAAAAGAAATAAAAAAATGTTTCTAATGAAAGTTGTTTATTTTGAAGAAAAGTAATATCACATTCAATATATGTTCCTATTTAAAATTTTGAAGTTATCTTCAGTTTTGATCACTTCCAATTTTTTTCGGAAAATCGTAGTAGCAACAATTGATTTTATGAGTAACATTTCCTATAAAAATTTTTTGTTTACCTTCATGTGACATTCAGTTACCGAATAAAAGAGGTGGTACAGGTGGTCTGATATACCCTGTATAATAATAATAAATCATTATTACAAATTAATTAAAATATAAGATAACTGTGTGGATCCAAGATTGAGTTTCACGTGGAAGATTGGATTCACCGTGTATATTAATAAAATGTTCGACGCGTGTATTTGACACCGCCAATATTATCCTTCCAAAAAATTTATTATTCGCATTAACATCCAACATACGACTCTTAATAGCTTTATATTAATTATTATATTAATTTTAATAAACATGTTAAGTTACGTTATATATATACGTCAACTATTTCCACTTTCCTCGTGGCTTAATTACTATTTTCGCATAATCGGCTCGCTGCATTACTTTATGTTTAACTTCCAGATACGCTTCCAGATAAATTTCCAGACATGACAAGAAAGAAGAGAAACATTGGCGTACAAAGAACGGAGTTATCATTTCGACAGCTATGGACGCCGAAGCAAACGAGCCGGTCCAACAATTATATTTACGTCCCGCCTAATTATGCTTTCGGGAATATCAGGGATAATCCTAATCCTAAATACTATCGCGACCTTCCTCACTGTGAAAAGCTTCAACCAAGAGATTTGCCACGCAAAAATCGTGAGTTCAATAATATCTAAAATTTATAGATTGCGTTTCGTAACACGCATATGCGTGCATTTATCTGTAGATCATGTTACGTCTACTGCATACGTATACTGTAGAAAATGCGCGCATATGTGCGTATTACAGAACGCAGCCATAATCAGCTCAGTGGAAAAATATCGCAGTTCTTATCGTGCTTGACTTGGCATTTACATCTAGGTCGAGGAAACTAGAAGATAAGCACTATTAATTTCAATATTAATATTAAATTTTAAATACGCCATGTGTTCCAAGTACGAAAGAAAAAGAACATTCTTGTCTTGAAAATATTTTTATTTTTAACATGTAAATCTTAAAATAATACAATGTTATAGATATAAACGAAATTATAAGTTACTTGCATCAATATACTTTATATGTGATTCAACAAAGAAAAAAATATTCTTATTATCCAAAAAATAATTTTCGTGATTAAAAATCATAAAATATTTGATTAAAAATGATATTTTTAAACGTCGAAGGAAAATATCATCAAAATAAACATATTGCAATTCTTATGAGATTATTATAATATTCCAATAAAATTATAACATCGTTAAAATTCGAAACTTTAATTCTAATAAAATTATATATTGTTGTTTATATTGGGAGTGTGCATTAATTTTAAAGGATTTTCAAGAGATGGCGTAACTAGTATTATATCGCATCGGGCCATATTGTTGCTACCTTCATGTCAAAGCATCATCATGTGACTTTAATTTTCAGTATGTGTCATTTTGCCGAAATGTAAACAACATTGTTTTTTTGAGCATTGAATATGTCGAATTTTGTACCAACAAAACGCAAATTGCAGGAAACTTTGCTTTTTTGCTTTCATTTGAATAAAAGTGCTGCTGAAAGTCAACGAATGCTGTCGGAAGCTTATGGTGATTATACTCCATCGATTTCAACATGTGAGTACTGGTTTTGACGCTATAAAAAAGATGATTTTGACACGGAAGACAAGGAACGTCTAGGCCAGCCGAAAAAGTTTGAAGATGAGGAACTGGAAGCTTTACTCGATTAACCCGTTTCGTCTTGAAATGGCATAAATTTTATCTGTTGTTCATCACTATAAATTTTATATTAAATCGAGCGAGTTCAGCCAAAGTTGGTATACTATAGGTTCTGAGTGTGCTCTTTAAGAATCTGACCTTCTTTTTTTACTATCATCAATATGAAATCCAATATGGCGGCTTAAAGTTGGAGAAATCGAAAAAATCATCGATTCTTTTTGCTTTAAACGCTATTTCGACAAGGAATGCATTTGTGGACCTGGCTAATCGTGTATATTTGGTGGCATATAGGCCTGTACTTTAAGATACTTCTTCACGGAATTTAAATTTTTATGTTTTTCATGAAGGATGGCGCTGTTTTTTCACAAAATTTCGTGTTTTGCAGGTTTTCTATAGTTTCTTAGTATATGACTAAAAATAACGGTCATAATATTTACCAGGATTATAATATCAGCATCAGTGAATGTTACTGGATGAGTACCAATCGTAATAGTGTCAACCAAATCTCAAAATGCCGCAAAAACATTGTTTTTTACAAATTTCGTGGTTACATTACAAAATTTTTTGTTTTTTGTGTCATAATTATTAAAAAAAAATCATTATAAATAAACTTTACAAAAAAATTGTTATAAATAAACTTTACAAAAAATCATATAAATCATTATAAATAAAATTTACAAAAAAAATCGTTATAAATAAATTACAACAAAAGATATTTACAATAAATTTTACAAAAAAATCGTTACAAATAAACTTTACAAAAAAAATCGTTATAAACTTTACCAAAAAAATCGTTCTAAATAAATTACAACAAAAGATATTTAAAATAAATTTTACAAAAAAAAATCGTTACAAATAAACTTTACAAAAAAAAATCGTTATAAATAAATTTTAACAAAAGCTCAGCCAAAAGATATTTGAAAAAATATTGTTAAAACAACTTTTTAAGTCCTTTACTATTTTGTAAATGACCACATAGATTTTTATATATTAATTAAAAAAAATTTTTTTATTATAATATATAATCATATATGTAACAATTTTCTTTAATATTTAAAAACCTATGTAGTCATTTGCAAAATGATAGAGGACTTTTTTGTTTGATTTTAAGTTTTGGTTAAGATTAATTTAATGTATAAGTATACAACGGCAGACGACGCCACTGCAGCTCATCTACCATGAGTGATCATTCACTAATCTTTTTTAATTAATATCTCGATTATTATTGCGAATATCGCAAAACGGCAGAGAATTTTCTTGTTCACTTCAATCCGTTCTACGTTCTCATACAGGGTCATCATGGAGATCTGAGATAATCTGTATATTAGTTTTAAGTTAATACTCATTTTTTTCTGTGTTCTATAACACTTGTTAATCATTATATATTTAATCCATTTACTACAATTTTTTTATCTGCGTCTCATCTAAATGCGTTAACTTTAAAAATAATTCTATGCCGGCAGAGTTGAAAATTGAAGATTGAAGAAATAAACGTTAATATATACGTTGAGATAATTAACTCAAGGTAATAAAGTGCAGTTAGTACATTAAAATGCAATATAGTGTTGCGCCACGCGTAAATGCACAGACAAATTAAGTTACACTGAACGCAGGATCCGCATTGCTGCAGCGCTATAAAATTCGAGCAAGTTTCACCCACAGTGTAGTAAGAAAAAGAAACCTGGTGTCGCCTCGTAAAAATGCAATTATAGTGCTTGCTGAAGCCATTAAGTGGACAGCTTTCCAGAAAATGGTCGCGCAATCGTGGAGTTTTCATTTTTATGAAGGGTTAGAAACGCCGTTACATTATGTAATATGTAGAGCAGTTTACATAGACAAGACATTCACAAGTTATTAACATTCGTACTTTTACATTCAAGAAATTTCTTGAAGTGTAGTATGATATAGTTTAGCATGATATAGTTTAGTAAATGTAGCGCGCAGGATCAAGATAGCGAACGTAACATTACGAAACATTGAAAATTCTGCGAAGACTTAGAACGATTTTTACAATAGTTCATGATGTCGAGAAAAAAACTTTCTCTAGAACTCAACTGCGAATTTTTTATATATATTTAAATGTTCTTGAAATATATTAAAAAGAAATAAAAATTTATGCACTTTTAAATATAATGTTTTTCTGCAAAATTCTTAATTGAAATAAACAAGTATTAAAGATCTGTATTCGAAATGCGATTTAAGTGCAAATAAAATATAAAACTTAACGAAAAGTAACGTATATGTATTGTTAGATCTTTGTAAGAAAATAAAATAAAGATAATTCTTTATTTTTTTGTAATACGTTACCGATAAAGTAATTATAAGAAACTATTAATAAGCATAAAAAATTTCGAGAAACAAGACAATAAATAGCAAATGGAATATATAATGCAATAAAAAATGATCATAACTAATGGTAAAAAAAGTAGAAATTCATTTTTAATGCAAGTCAAACGAAGGAAAAAAGTTGCACGATTTCACGAGAAGATGCGCGTGTTCCCATGAACTCATCCGCCAATGACCTATACCGTGACTAGTGCCTGGAGTCGTTATACGGACGAGAGGGAAAATCATCTTCGGTAGAAGGGATTCGCCATTCTCTCCTTTCGTAGGATCTAGACACACTTACGACCCGGATAGTGAATATAGTAGTCGTGTAAGATCCATGGTGCCATCCTGAGAGTACCCGATCCACTTGTGTTTAACACATCACTAACAATAACGCTAAAGCAAAGACAACAGCACGATCTGTTGCTGCTTTAGAGCATCGGTATTCCGAATTAGTACACGCCAAAGAACGCCCGTAATCACTGTTTAAAGTAAGTAAGAAATAGACGCATCTTGGAAAATCGCTTTCGCTCCAATATTTTCAATTAACGAATTATTATTAGACGTCGTCATTTCATTTTCTCTCTTCTTGTCATGCTTATTGTGTCATTATTGTCACGAGTTGTAGTGTGACAAACGATTAACATTTAATTGGAATGCGGTACTTTCATCGAGTACTGATGATTACTTTGCATATGTTAGAACCTACTTACCTCAATGAAGAAAATAATGTTTTTGTCGGTTGTGTGACGTTGCAAAAATCGCACTGGATTTCTAATCGCATCGAGAGTATTACTGCATCTCTTTTCATTTCTCGTTATTTAATTTCTATCATCTTATTATCATCAAAATGTAATTATGTGGCAAAATCTAATCGGTAATTTAGCATGAAATAAATTAATAAAATATGATATTTTTCACAGAAAAAGTACATTCTGAAACTTCTTTTCACAGGCATGGCAAATATGGTACCATGGCTGCTGTCAATGTCGCTTATGGGTGCTCCACATTTTGCGGCTTACACAGGCCCCAACATCTTATCTAGAGAACTTCAAGCACCCGCGCTACCGTTAACTCCATCATCAGTTTTGACTGAGCATTTTTCTTCGACACGCGTAAGAAACAATGTCTACAAATATGGTATCACTTAAAGAAAAATAATATTGATTATATTGATTAGTCAAAAGAGTTTGGTTCGATTTTTTGTCTTCTTCAATAGTAAACCGACTACATTCCACTACAAATCTTGGTTCATGAATAATTTGTTCTTATTGAACAACATATAGAATACTCACATACACAATTCATACTTTTTTTAATTTTCTGAACTCAAGATTTTTTCTAACAATAGATGTTACAATTTGGTAATTTGAGAAAGAAATTAATCAAATTAAATTACTCGACTTTTAAAATAATAGTATATCACACCACATTTTATCGTTGATAGGCAATCGATCACAAAGGTTCTATATCGGCTTATAATGAACACGCTGGCTTACCAAAATTAGCGGTATCTGCGAATATAGGCAATCCTTACGGATCAACGCCACAATTACGGCATCATGTTGCTACATCTAACCTGGGAAGAAACGATTTCTCAAGACCTACTGGAAGAGCCATAGATACATTTCACACGGATTCTCATTCAGTGAACCAATTAGATTTCCATGATTTTGGTGATGGCTTCGAGCCGGGACATATTATAGACGACTACGTTGGACCTGCCATGGAATTAGTACGTAGCGTTTTCTTGCCAGTTTTGGTGAAAAATTAAATTAAATTAAATTTTAAAAAAATATTTGTATATACATACATACACACATATAAGACTTTTTTTTATTTAAACAGGTATATGCGTGGCCCACGATCGACTTTGAATTTAACAATATCGAAGAGCGAGACGACGCTATATTTAAAGGTGACTATATAGCTGAAAACAACTTGCCTTTAGGCTTAGAAGTCTGGCGAGACAAAGTCTTTATTACTCTCCCAAAATGGAGGTCTGGTATTCCGGCTACTTTATCCACCGTATCAAGACATACGAAGACAAAGAATCCCAAATTGAAACCATATCCTAACTGGCACTGGCATCAATCAGGTTATTTTCATATGTTAACTTCGTATATATCTGTTACTTTATATTTTCTATTAGATTGGTGCAAAAGATTTGTTAAATCAACTATAAAACGAATATAATAATCCAATTCCGAGAGATTAATAATTTTTACAAATAAAATGAGCAACAAGTGAGTACTTTTTTAAACATTTAACGAAGATTTTCTATTTTCCTTATAATATTCAAACTTTTTACAAAAACCAAATAAAACAATGACAAATCTTTTGCATCAACGTGATATTACACACACATGCATACACACACACACATATACACATACATATACATACATACATATATACAGGGTTGGCAAAAAGTCCGAAAACGGTCAAATATCTCGAAAAGGATCAACTGTAGCGAAAAATATGTAAGTAGCAAAGTTGTAGAGCTTAATAAAATGTACCTAATGATGGCTAAAAATTTGACTTTGGGTGGAGGACGAAGGTCATACGATGGTCAAATTGAATTTTTTTAATTGTACCCCCCCACTTTTTATTACATATTCTTGCAGCTTATTTCAGGGGCTTTCCAAAAACCTATAATAAAGTATTTTTTATTAGGTATATTTAGAGTTATGAAGCTTGAAAGGATTTTGGTCTTTAACGGTTTCTGTTTCGTAAAAACGTCTCACTGTCTTCTGAACGGTGGATTTAGAAATAAAATTGCGATCAGGATATGCAGCATTAAATGTGTAGATCAGTTACTTCTTCGTATGATCTAATATGGTCTCCAAATTTTCGATAAAGAAACAGCATTATCTTTTCTTTATCGGTTAACATTTTAAAAAAAGAAATTTGAAATTGTAGTTGGAAAAAGAAAGGGAAAAGACAAAGAGTAAGATGCGAGAGAGCACGACTCGTTTTTAAAATACAAAGATCGAGAAGCGTTATCGTGAAGCGCGGGTATGCACGAGTTTCGAATGAGTACGTGTGATATTACGTCGTGAATGAATAACCGCGTTCGATGAGAGCGAATGAACAACTAAGCCGATCATATCGTCTAGCTCGAGACACGAAAAACAAAGTTATTCTTGTTTTTCTCCTGTGTTTATGTTTTTTAGGCTCCCAGCCTAGTTGTTCATTCGCTTGCATCAAACGCGGTTATTCATTCATGACGTAATATCACACGTACTCAGTCGAAACTCACGCATCCCCGCGCTTCACGATAACGCTTCTCGATCTTTGTATTTTAAAAACGAGTCGTGCTCTCTCGCATCTTACACTTTGTCTTTTCCCTTTCTTTTTCCAACTACAATTTCAAATTTCTTTTTTAAAAATGTTAACCGATAAAGAAAATATAATGCTGTTTATCGAAAATTTGGAGACCATATTAGATTATACGAAGAAGTAACTGATCTACACATTCAATGCTGTATATCCTGATCGCAATTTTATTTCTAAATCTACCGTTCAGAAGACAGTGATACGTTTTTACGAAACAGAAACAGTTAAAGACCAAAATCCTTTCAAGC